TGAGGGTGGCAGTTAGAAGCCAGTGTTGGGAAAAGTTGAACTTGTTATGTTGTTTTATATAAAAAATAAACGATTATAAATAGGTGAAACACAAGGAATTTTTAGGACAGTGAAATGATTCTATATAATAGCATTAATATAATGGTGGATACATGACATTATGCATTGAACTGTGCAACACGAAGAGTAAACTCTAATATAAACTATAAACTTTAGCTAATAATAATGTATAAGTATTGATGCATCAATCATAACAATGCACCACACCGGTGCAGGATGTTAATAATAAGGGAAATTGTGCTGGGGAATCTCTGTACTTTCTGCTCAATTTTTTTGTAAACTTGAAACCACTCTAAAAAAATTAAGTCTATTAACCTGAAAAAAAAAAAGTTTTATGCCTGAAGGATATTAACATTTCTTGCAACAATGCCATTGACCACCTTTCAGGGTGCTGATAGAAATTGACAATTTACCCATATTAACTTTTCACTCCATGAGAAGTATAAATTTTTCTATATTTAGATCTTTTCATTTCCTCTCAGAGAATGTTTTGTAGGAGGGACCAGCAAATTATAGCCCAAATTCAGGCAAATTCAGCCTGAAGCCTATTTTTGTAATGCCAATAAACTTGGCATTTGTTAATGTTGTATTAACATTTTTAAAAATTTGTTTAAAAAAGAAAGAGAAACAGAGAAGGAAATGTAATAGACCATATAAAACCTGCAAAGCCTGTATTTCCTATCTGGCCCTTTACAAAAAAAATTGCCGACTCCTGTTTTATAGCTTTAGATTTATAGATCTTGTGCAACATTTGCTAATTTCACCCTAATTATTTTGTGAGCTTTTAAATACTGCTGTAAATGGTATTTTAAAAATGTTATTTTTCAGGTGTTCATTGGCATTATATAGAAAATACAATTGATTTTTATATATTGACCTTGTATGCTGGAACATTGTTAAATTCACTCCTTACTTCTGGGAGTTTCTTTGTAGATTCCTTAGGATTTTCTATATACACAGTTATGTTTTCTATGAATAGTGACAGTATTCTTCAAAATAAATCAATGATTTTTTTTTCATTAAGGGACTAATGGAAGAAAACAAGGTTCAAATAATTGTTTTAAATCCTAAGTCTGTCACCATGGGTCAGCTGTATGGACAGTTTGATTTAGTGTCCCACGAGTGGTCTGATGGGGTCCTTGCTGTCAGTTTTAGAACATTTGCCTCTTCAACGGTAAGTACTAACACTTTGGCATGCATATTTTAAAAGGTTATGATATTTACTTCTAATTTCTGATTTTTTTTCAATTGTTTCAAACAAGTCCATTTTTATAGCTTAAGATATTTGTTTAAACACAATACTGGATAGTCTGGCAGTATTTCTGTGAAGAGCACTATCAGCACCTACAAAAATGCCAGAGACCATGCTAGCAAACACCTTTGCCCTGCATATGCATAGAGGAGAGGGCGGTAGAAAAAAAAGACAGGACAAAGAGTATCTGATTCTTTTCTTTTAAGCCAGGTGATCCAGGACAGAGAGTATCTAAATGACATGCCTCTTAGTAATATAATTCCTTTGCTTGCTCTTTGGGCTGCTGCCATTGTCACACTCACTAATTTTAGATACACTCCAATGTTTAGAGAAGAAATTACATGCGTTTGTAAAATAATGTCTTAAAGCTCTAACACTTTCCCTTTAGTGTGTTAGGAAGAGAATGGGCTGCTTTGTGGAAAGCAGAAGAGGTAAGGCACATCCATCTGCTGACAGCTGTGGATGGGAGAGTAGGCAGCTACCTACTCCTGGCTTATTCTGCTGGGTGGTTGTTGCCCACTCTCATGAAAAAAATCCACAGACCAACAAGTGTTAACTTGGTTGCCATATTTTAGAAGGTTCTCCATAGAGTGTGCTAATATGGGAGACAGCTTGCCAAGGCTGGTAGTATAGGAAAAGGGGCTTAGGTTAGAGACATTTATTTCTTAAATTTTTTTAAATAAGTGTGTCTTTATTCTGACTAACATTCTAAATTTGGTGGTCTTTACCCACTTAAGGACCCAGTGGACCATGCCTCATAAATCAGTGTAGTAACATAAAAAACATGAAATCTCATCTCTGCTCTTATTTGCAGAAAGACGTTGGGCAATGAGTAATGTAAGGATTGACTCTCATGTACAGAGTTCTTGCCTAGCATCAAGCTTTATTAGTAATTTTGAGGATAAAAGTAATCATGAGGCACAGGTGATGCCAAAAGAGGTCTGCAATTGTTCGTGTGACTTCTTAAGCCCTCTCTTGCACAGTGGATGCACTCCGGCCCAGAGTAACCTAGGAGTCTCTCCATAATGTATGCAGTTACATTGTTTACACAGAAATAATCCTGAGCTATCTCTATCTTATACTCAGTTACATAGCTTACATTACATTTTTCAGAAAGCTACTTCCTGTAAATACTGAGTCTCCGGGAGGTTAAGTAGTTCACCCAAAGTCCACAGCTCATAAGAAGTGGAGCCAAATGAAAAGCAAAGTCCTTCAGACCTCAAAGCCCAGGGTCTCCCCGTTACATGGTGGTGTTTCTCAAAGTGACGGGCACGAGAAGCCCACAACACGAGGGAAAGATGATCTTGAGGTGACCACTGAGATATGGCTCTTCCTTGCTTCTTTCCTGCACACAGCCAGAACTGGCCTCTGAGTGTGGGTGTCACATGGTTTGAGCCTGGGACAGTTCCACTGTCTCATAGGTTAATGCAGTTGGCCACAGGGACTGAGAATGTGTTAAGATGGATTCAAATCCTTCTCCACTTCAGCTTGAACTCACACGTGCTGAAGGTAAACCAGGGCAACAGCTGTACATAAAAAGGTTGAATTATAAGGATCTGGAAAGGAGAATCGGTTTTGGCACTCTCTGGCTAATAGCTGACCACTTCGTATTTGTTGAAAATTTACTATAGTCTGGACAATGTATAAATATTTTTTATTACATCATTGTGAGTCTGTGAATGTTATATTGATTTTAATGTCTTATACCATCATGAGATAGTTCAGTCCAAGAGCAGTATGTATATATGTGTGAATTCATTCAGTGGGGAGAAGAAAATATTTGGCTAAACACAAAAGAGTAATTAATCTGCATGAATATGCTACTATATAGCAGACAATGTGAATGAAAATTCTGTTTTCCCTGGCAATTTTATATAT